TTCGTGAGGCCCTAAAGCTAATTTCAGGCATCCATTCCGGCATGAGGGTCAACCCAGGAATAAACCCTACTAAATACCGAGCAATAATTTATTTCCTGAAACGATGTACCTTTGGATTGCATTTTCTATTAGTGGCATGAGTTCACAGTGTTGGATTTACTGGAATTGCGGACATCTTCAAATAAAAAATGAATCAACTGAAATTAGGATTTTAAGATTTCTAGAGTTATCGTCGTTTTAAAATGTCTGAGTAAAAAAAATTCACTGAAGGAAAAATGCCGTGAAAGGGTTTTTTTGCACTTTTTGGAGGAAAAATCAAGGCTCGTCATTCTTTGGAGACACGATTGCATCCTTCAGTGCGAAAGTTTTTAAATTTTTATTTACAGTATTTTTTTTACGAGAAAAACTTTTTTTCTACAGCATGAATGTTTTCTATTCCAAACCCCATATTTTCTTTGTTTTTAGTGCGGAAGTTTTTTTATTTTTATTTACAGTAATTTTTTACGAGAAAAAAATTTGTTCTACAGCATGAATGTTTTTCTATTCCTCCTAAACCCATATTTTCTTTGTAATTCAACTGCCCGGAAATGCATCGTCTTAATAATGCGTAAAATAGTTTTTTCAACACGTGATAAATCAGAGTCGTTCGTTTTAAATAAAGGTTGTATTACGGTACAATAAAATTATCAATGGTATTTACTTGAAGTTCAGGTTATCGTCTTGCGAGGTGTTCGGAAATGGTGAGTTTTCAAATTGGAAAGAAGTTCAGAGTGAAGACATACATACCCTGTAAACAGTCCGTTAGGAAAAAACATTTGTAAAAGAATTGATGGACAATATTTCTTGCTGTTGATAACATGGGGAATTAATTGTTGCTCCAATCGAATTTTTCTTTCGTATCTGATACTTCTTTCTCAAAGGAAGATACCGGAGTCTTATGGGGATTGTTTCATCATCGGCAGCAGAGTCTATTGTATTTCTAGAGAAGAAAAAAATCAATCAAGTGCAGTAATGATGTCGGCTTTTTCTTTTCTTGTACAGCAAATAACGAACCACAGCACATAACGACATTGACTGCAACAATGGCCATTCACTCAAGTAGTGTGGATTCCCCGGGGTCTCAACCCCAAACAGATGGGTTTGACACTTCCTTGGGCCCACGTCGACTCCATCAAGAACGAGCCAATGATGATTTTGACAATGTTTCAAGTGAGCCCATTGTGATGGCGACGTCGACGAGTGAAGTTTCTTTGGCATTTGGGTCTTCGGAACCATTTCCTCGACTTCCGGATCAGAATTCAGACTTGGTTGAAAACGGGCTGCAGTTGAAGAGGACATTTTCCGTGGGTCTGTTGCACGTTGATGCTGAGGATGTCGTTGTGCGGGTGAGTTGCTAATTTCCTCTAGTTATTTCAGCTGGATGCGAAGAAGGATTAATAATCACGAGGGATAACATTTGTCGTCAATTGCGCAAACATTCGTTCGTTGTTTATTCCAGATTCAGCAACCGGACCTTCAACAAAGTCGTTCGCAATCAGCAGAAGGCAGCAACAGCAGAACGGAAACATTATTTTTCAACCCTGAAATGATGAATCAATTTCGCGGAATGCAGGACGGGGAGATTCTTGTTGAAGACATTCGTCAGCCGTCGTTTGGTTCGAAATCCAAAC